TGGAAAGAATCTGTCATATATAAATGCATGTACGTACGTACATATGTATGAAGAGACCTGATTCTATCCAAAAGCCAGCCTGTATTAAACATGATTCAGTTTTAGTGCTTATACCCCATTCATCACTGTGGTTTCTATACATATGGGATTGAACACCCGATGGTATAAATCAGCACAACTCCAGTGAAGTCAGTAGAGATATGATGACTTGCAACAGTTGAGAATCCATCCTGTCCTTTTAATACAGCACAAAGAAACAGAACCCCCCCCCCCCAGACTTAATACCCTGCCTGACTTCTAGACATCCCATAATAAACACTAAAACAACAACTTGCTGATGAGCAAGTACCTCAATCATATTGTCCTCAGTGCAATTCTGAAATCCGTGACTGTACAGTACATCGAAGGCATGTCATTAACAGCTGATTGCACTGGGAAATGCCTGAGACAAAATGACTTAGTGGTCGGAGAATATTTTTGTTTTAAAAGAAGACTAAGATTGTTCTTTTTCTTTCCCCCCGGTTTGAAACTGCAGAACGGTCCATGAAAAATGACTGTCCTCTTTGAAAGGGAAGGAGGTGGAGAGAGTTGCATTTTTCAGGCCAAGTCACTGACATGGGATTGTAAGTTAGTTCCTTCAGTGTTGTTTCCACAAGAGAACTGAGAAAATGCATCTAGTTCCACCGTGTCAATCAGTATGTGAAGTCTCATAAAAATCTCATGCAGGGGATATCCAGACAAACTACAAGCAAACAAGCCCAACCCTGCTACAAACTACTATGAAACTTCCAGGAAGACAGTGCTGCAGCTTTACGTAAGCCAGCACCCAAAGACCAATACACATTAGTCATCACTGACAAAAAATCAAGACACCCTCTTTTAGAAGATGTATAAGCATCCAGCCTTTATTGGACAAAAAGTCAGCGGAGACTGCTGGTCCCAACAAAGTCAAAATAGGCCACAGACCCTGTGCCAAGTAGGAGTTTACAGTCAGGGAAGAAATTACCATTATATCTCCAGGATGACTTCTTGATTTTACAAAAGCATCGCCTTTGTTCTGGCCCGTGAGAGCTTTGCTGGCTTTTATCATAAAAAAAGCACAAGATCACTTCTTATGGCAATATAAGTATAATAACAAATATCAGATTTGTGTCTCTGCAGTCTCAGAGAGCTGCTGTAAAAATAACATCACCTGAAGTATAGCTAAGCCTGCTTAGGACAAAGAAATTCAGATGCAACTCAAATGGAAGAAAGGACCAGGCAAAAAAACAGAAGCACCCCACCACCACCACTAGATAACAACAAAAAAACCCCAACACTGGATGCAGTGGAAAAGATAAATGCCTTCCGATCTCAAGGAAGATGGCCAAGTTCAGTGCTTGGAAAGCAGTCGGTGACCACTACTTTGTTTGCTCCAAGTATATTTATCATCTTCAAGAAGAAGAAAGGAGGTTTTGTCATTGCTGAAAATGATGATGGCTCATTCGCCTGAAATGCATCATCCTTTGAAACACAAAGCAACTCCCAAGATGATCTTTCCTGTACTGGCAAGCGAAATGACACGTGACTTCTACCACGTATCTGCCACTATCACTCAGAGGAATTCCAGACTCACAAAAGACTGTCAAGTAGATCCAAGGGACCTGATTGTTTTAGCACAACATAAATGTGTTTTCCATATGCCAAAATGATTCGTTTCTAATCTATCTTTCAAGCAAAAATCTTTGGAGAGGAATGTAGATTTACTGACACTGAAACATTTTGCACACTCATTTTGGATTCACCAAATTGCTGATGTTAAGAAAAAAGCAAAGAAATTCTGCTTCTGTCTGGCATTTTCAAAATGTAATGTTTCATTTTTTTTCATTTAAAAGAGGGATGGCAGACTCACCTCGTGCCCTGGGTTGGAGCTGGAGCCAGCCCAGGACACAAGGTAGCCACAGTGGTGACATAGGTGGCAGCAGCACCAGCTCCAGCATGAGGCATGTGGCAACAGCTCCAGTCTGGGGCAATTGTGGGACCAGCAGCTGAAAAGGTATGTCAGGGGTGGCGGCAAGGGATGAAGTGGCTGGAGGACAACTGAGGCTGTATCAGCCCTTGCTCATCCTCCTGCTGCCAATCGCTATGTCCACAGGGTCCAAAGGCCCTGGATTCTGTGGCAAGCCATTCCCCACCCCTGGCCAGTCCCACCAACTTCCCATTGCCCACCTGCAGCCAGGCAGGCCAGATAGAGCAGCTCTGCAGGCCAAATCCAGCCTGCAGGCCTATGTTTGATACCCCAACTTAAAATATTTCATTAGGATATTTTCAAAATATTTCATTAGGATAATTTTTCAATTCAAAATTACTTTTTGACTTATTTTTATAAACTAAAGAACCCTGTTAAACCCCACAGGGCAGGGGATCAGACTCGATGATCTGTTGAGGTCCCTTCTGACCCTAGCATCTATGAATCTATGAAAATAAAATGTTTTGTTTGGGGTCTAACAATACAGTTCATTCAGCCCAACTGAATGGTTTTTCAGTTTCCCAGAGCAGCCAGCAAAGTAAAAGATCAAGTATTAGCACAGCTCTGTTCTTGACTAGCTGACAGAGCAACAAATCTATTCAATACACACCTTCCAGACATCATAATGTATGAAAAATTAGAAGTTAAATGCTGTAAATATATATATGGCATCCGTTCATCAGTTAGTGATGGTGGATATAGTAGCTAAATTGTTTTAAAAGAGCTGTTGTAATATTTATGAAAGGGTTAATGGATGACTTTGAGTCTGACTCAGCTTTCATACACAGTGACTTATATGATAATACTGTTAATTTACATCACAGTGGATGCGTCTACAAGAGACACTAACTGCACAATAGCCTAAATAACATTGCGCAGTAGTGTGCCAGGCAAAACCCATGCTAATACACTACTGAGCAGAAGTATTAGGCTACTGAGCAGTTAATGTCAGTAAAAAGGTGTGCGCCGGTGCTACTGTGCAGTAGCACCAGTTACTGTGCACTGATTTAATAACTGGTTATGCAAGTACTAAACTTAATGAGCAGCAACTATGGTGCATTAATGAACATGTAAACGCACCCAGAGGGAACTAGGAGTCACTTCTGATTGACACCAGTATAAGGAAAAGGAGCACTTATCTTCAGAAGATCTCTGCACCGGGCAGTAGACTTCTGCACCATTAAGCTGAGGATTTATTGATTCCTCTACAGACACCAGACTGACAAGATATGATGGATACAAGTCATCTGGCAATAAGAGAAAATGTATGACAGGGATGTACTAGATGATTAGATGACCCTCCGTCGTCTGTGCCTGTTGAAAAAGGGCTAACTGTCTGCACAGGCTTTGATGGTTTCAATACTCAGTTATGGAAGAGGTCTTTAGCTGGTGTAAATCAGCATAACTTCAGAGGAGCTATGCTGATTTATAGTAGGCAGGGATCTGAGCCTCAACAGACAAAATTCAGCAATGGTCAGATATCTGGCAACATGATTACCCATAGACAGTGATTGAGGCTTCCCTCCCCAGCACTCCCCATGATCATGATGCAGACATCGTAGGGCAGCTCCACCTGGTTGACCTTAATGGAGTTACACCACAGATGGACTTGGTCACAAATTCTCTGAAATTACCTCTAATGAGCTAATTATTTCCTGCATTTGTAATATGCTGCTGATTTGAGTTTGTGGGTGGGATGCTGAATGAATAGGAATCACACATTTCCTTGTGTTGGTATAGGGAACATTTGATTCACTGTGTAGCCATTCAGCTGCATGGCAAACAAGGCCCCCAAGACACTCCCTTCCTGTTCACGACCAGTGACTCTTCCTCCTCTTGCTATCTCCTTATCTGAGTACAAAAGAAGAGAGTGGGCCACCTCTTACCCGCTGGAGGGCATGGGCACAGGACAGTGTGACTGAATGCTTCCAGAAGCAAGGAGAATGAAGGTGACGCTGGATGGACCCAGTCAGAAGGTGAAGCATAAGGACATCATCAGGGCCCTGGACATATAGTATATTTGCAGGACTACAAAAAATAAATCACTATAAAAAATAAAGCGCTATGGGTGGCCACATATTCAAGAGTCAGGACATTTAAAGGGCTGGAAGGCAGCCAGGATCTGAAGAGCGCTGCCATGGAGGCACTTCTGGTCTCATGCTTCTTGGAAGCCCAGTAATTAGAAGGGTTGGTAGGTAGCCCAAGCCAGACACTGCCTCTTGGAGGGGGAGGGAGACGTGAGATTTGGGTTTCAGGAGGAGGGAGGGGGGCGGGGGAGGGAGAGCTGAACCCTGTGGGAAAGTTGGCGGGGGGAGTCTCTTGACCTGATCCCATGTTTTGTCCCAGAAAGACAAAGAAGTTGCTCTTTCAAACTCTTTCATCCTGGATCCATCGTTTCTGAGACAGATCATCCATTATTTTATGGCAACAAACAGCATAAATAGGTGGCCAGTTCTTTTGCTGATATGGTGGAACAAATATCATGTCTACCAGGGCCTTCAGACTGTACCAACCAGAGGACACAGTGCAAGGACAGGCTCCCTGAATGAGGAGGGGAAAAACTAAGGCATCAGATTGCTCCAGGTGTCTGCCTGTCCATGTATAATCATGTGTCTAAAGTATCTGAAGGGTCAAGGACAGGACGTGGCATGACGTTTCCTTGCTAAAGAGTGAAGGAAATGTCTAAGGAACATGCTAATTCCCAACCCTGTCCCTACCCCTGTGAGGACAGCTGGGTGGCAACCATTTCACCTGGAGCTAGGTTCAGTGGGGAAAACCCAAATGAACCATTTCCCTTACAGGGGATGGGATTCTGCATAAGCCATTGGTGTTAGCCAGTGAGCGAGCGAGCGAGCGAGTGAGTGGGCTTCACCCATACGGATGTTGCAATGGGGGTCTGCAGCTACTGTTTGCCGAAGCCCAGCTTCACGTGCAGGTATGATGCTGAAATGATCTGGCGGTACTGTACAGGAGCATGGCTCCCATTACTCACATTGACAATGGCTTCTTTTGTCTGGGCCATGTCCGATATCACCCCATCTGTGATGATCAGCAATACGAAGTACTGGGAACCATCCTGGACAGCCGTGGCATACCTGGACAGGGAGATGTTCACTTGAGTATAGGCTTGGAGTGGGGGCGGTAGGGTACTGTTGTGTAAGAAGAGAAGTAGTCCTGGGGCCTCTGACCTGATGGCTAAACTTGCTGCATACTCAATTAACTCTGAAGTGCTCCAGTGAGCACCAAAGCAGGATCCATCTCTGTCAGAGGTTTAGAGTAGCCTGTTTAGTTTCCCAGATTTAAAGATGTCTGTGGCAAGATTAAGGGAGTCCTCTGCACTTCAATTCCACTCCTGGCACTGACAAGCACGTTTTAGGAACAGTGCAAGTCCCAAAGAAAGAGCGATTCACCACTCATTCAATCAGGATCCTTCTGGGTTGAAGGAAAGGCACGCTGGTTATCCCAGCTACTCCGCATGGATGGTTGCTGGAAGTGGAGGTAACAACAGGCCAGTGGATGACACTGTGCCACAGGAAATAATGGCCTGAGATTGTTAAAGCAGGGCTGTACATGCCTCTGCCAGATACCGTAGCTTGCCAAGGCATTTCCAAGCTCTTGTTTCTTTCACTGCTACTTGTGGACCACTTAGTGTCATGGTGGGACTTCCCATTGCTCCCTGATGGTGACAAGCGTTTCTGGGCTAAGAGCCTATGTCTAGCCAGGGCCGGATTAACACATAGGCAAACTAGGGACATGCCTAGGGCCCTGAGCTGTGGGGGCCCCCGGTCCTTCCCTCCGTGGTGGTGGCGTGAATGGACCCACCTGCCTCCCTTCCCTTCCTTTCCCCTCCCCTCTGCCAGCCTTGCCGTGGCACCTGCTTCCTAGCAGTGGCTCCAAGCAATGCTGGGTGGGGAGGGGGTCTCGACCAGCCTGGGGCCCATGAGTTTGTTTGCCTAGGGCCCACTAAAGGGTTCATCTGGCCCTGCTTCTAGCTCGAGAAGGAGTTAAGAGGGCATGATGGTCTGTGTGGTGTTGCCATGTACCCACTGCACTGGCTGCCTTTACCTGGCCACATGATTAACCACCGGTGCAAAGTTGGTGGGGCCATACAGCTGGACCGTCTTGAGGCTCTTGTGGTAGGCTTCCAGGATGCCCTCTATACCGTTGCAGTAGGGGTTGTCAGCATTGCCGTTCTGAGAAAAAGACAGGGAGAAATGGTTTCTCATCTTCCCCCTTCCCTGTTTGTTTCTTTTACCTCCCCCATCAGATGACAAGGATGCTCAAAGTGCTGGCTGAGGGAGTCACTGAGAGCCATGTGAGGGCTTCCCCTTTGTACTGAGAGGAATCACGAGGAGGGGTTGTGTTCAAGGAAATGAAGACCACCTCCCTGAGGGCTTAGAGGAATAGTACTAATTATATTTAGCAGTTGCACAGAATTTTCCACCCCATGGTCTCTGAGTACCATTATTCCCAGATGGGGAAACTGAGGCAGAGAGAGGGGTAGTGACTCAGCCAAGGCCACACAAAAATAGTGCCTGAGCTGGGAACTGAATCCAGGGGGTCCCAGCTGTGGTATTAACTTGACTTCCATAGTCTGTGCCTTGAGCATGGTAGACATCTCCAGGGAGCAGGGCTGAAGGAAGATATGGGGTATTCACATGGGGGTAGGATCTGCTTCCCTTGGTGCACCTACATGGCAGCCTCCTGGCCGGTCAGTGGCCTTTTCTGCTCAGTGGGCCAGTCTGGCACTGAGATGGACCCACTGGAAGAGAGACTAAGTGTGAGAGAGACTCAAAGGGGATGGCAGTACCAGTGGGAACTCGTGGGACACGTGCCCATCCGGAGGGATTTTGGCTCCAAAACCGAGTGCAGGAAACATCTTGTCACTGTCGTAGTCCTGGATGATCTCGCCCACTGCTTTCAGTGCCATAGCATACGCATTGAGCTGGTAGGGGTTCATGTAGTGCAGGGAAGTGGATTGCGAGGGGTTTCCTGCCAGAGACAGAGAAGAGTTAGAGGCAAGCAGAGAGCACAGCAGTAGAGGGGTGTGTGATATATAACTGGACATTGTCAGGTCACTTTAGGGGGCAAAACTATGCTCTCACTGTGAGGCCAGGGCCTGATTTTCACATGTACCAGGCAAATGAGAATAACTCCACTAAGCCATCTGGGGGGGATGACTGATGTGTGTGCAGGCGAGAGGATATTCAGCCCCTTCCTGATTTCCCTGGGAATTTGCCCAGGGACCATACACAGGCTTTGACCAGCGGCCCCAATTCATCTCTTTCCATCATCAGTATTTCCAATGAGGTTGGGAGAGTGATCCTGGCATCACACTGATCCAAACAAGATCAGAACCAGGCCCAAAGGGTCTGGGTAGGACATGTGTTTGTTGAAAACTGAATACTACTCCTTGCAGGATACCCAATCCCTATCTGACTGGGACTTATCAAGCTGCCTATACCTCAAGTGACTGTTAATTTTAAAGCACCTTATGGAGAATTTGCAAGTGTGCAATAAATATGCAACCTCTCAGAGAAGTTACAATAGCATTTATTGTGTGAACAGCCACTGAGCGCCCCAACTCAGAGGTCTAGCCTTGTTCTGGGAATCCTCCCACCACATCTCTGGTACAGAGACTCACCATTGGAAGCTGTGAAGTCGATGGCCACGGTGAAGTTGATCTGCGTCCTAGAAAAGTGACAATGATAGTATGAGACAGAGGCTACTGCAGTGCGGGACTTTGTCTGGAGGCATTTTGCTCAGTCTTCACCCTTGATGCCGAAGCCCAACCTTAAAACTCTTGCTTTTTTGCAAAATTCAGATTCCAACTGTGCAGTTCTAGCCTCATGGGGGCTAAGACACAGATCTGCCAGTTGGAGCACAAGCAGCCAGAAAGATCCCTCCGTGCTAGCCATGCTACCATCTTATGGCTTTTGTTCACACATGGAAGTCATTGTCATAACTTATGGTGTAGGCCAATGGTGTAACAAGGTTCAAAGTAGGACTGGACAAATTTATGGAGGATAGCTCCATTAGGAACTATTAAACACAACACTTCAGGTGCCTGGGTGGTATGATGGGGCATGGATAACTCTACACATGCCCTGTTTCAAACACTCTTAGTCTAAAAGACCTGTTCCTTGCCCCTGTTGCAGACAGGACATTGGACTAGATGCATCTCAATGTCTCAAAAATGGGACTGCAGGCAGAAGCTTTACTCACTAAGTTACTGGAGGCTCTGGGTCAATATAAGACATTTGAAAATCTGGCTGTTACAAAGTGCTGAGCAAAAAATGGGGCCTGGGGCACAGGCCCCAGGCTCCAACCCTTGGGGGAATGGGGCTCAAAAATAGCAGCAGACAGATGTGCTGTCAGCCTGGCCACCACCACACCCCTGGCAACACAGCTCAGAGGCTGCACACGAGGGTTACCTGTTGACAGAGTGGATGTGATTTCCTGCACAGTACCTGCCTGTGCTCTGTCTTACTTCTCAAGGCCTGCCCGTGATTTGGCTGATGATGATGCTGGAGCAGTTACATAAGATCAGGCTAGTTTTTGATTAGCTACATTAATTAGGCAGCATAGAAGGTTATGCCCCATGATTTATCAACACTGTTATATGAATGCAGGCTCCATCTCTCACCCCATCTCTGCTCCTGAGAAGTGGTTTGGTTGAATAGCCAGTAACAAAACCTGCAGGTCAGATTCTCATCTCACTGACTTGGAATAAATCAGGAGTAATTCTACTGGGCCTGACTCCTCTCTCGCTTTTCTCACTGGCATTTTTATGTGAACCCATACAGTTGCACCAGGCCCTTCAGGATCATACCCAAGCTCCCTTTTTTCCCCCCGGTGCATAAACAAGTCCTGGATTTAGAGAGGCTGAAAACATATTCAGGATCAGGAGGACTTGAGAATCAAAATCTGCATCCTGCTGATGTAGATCAGCCTGGCTGTACTGAAGTCAGTGGAATTGTTTTATTTTACATTAGCTAAGGCTCTGTTTCCAAAGGCCAACATTCACATTGTTCAGCTTGAGACACCTGCCATGGAGGTAGCAGTGATTTCCTGCATGGTAGGGGGGGAGGAGAAGGGCACTCAGCCCTTTCTGAAAATCAAGTCCTTATAAAATGATGCCAGATGAGTTCCTCAAGTTAGAATCCACATTTAAAGACCGGGCATTAGAGGTTTGTCCAAATCACAGAGCAAACCTGATGCAATCGTAAGGGCCAGATGATGGCCTATAACAAAAGTAGATGCATTCATATTTTTTTTTTCACGGACTTGAGCAGGGTGGAATAGACTCACACTTAGGTGCCCAAGTGCAGTGAGATGCCCACTAGGAATACATCTGGCCTCTGTGTAAACGGGTGCCTCTCCACTCACTATGATTGCACTATGACAATTTACAGCATCTGAGGGTCTGGCTTACAGGTTCCAGAGGTACTTCTGGTGGGTGGAGGCAGCACTTCAGCCTGTGCATACAAACCCTACCCCCTATTTTTTTAAGAGCTGTGTTGAATTTGCAGAGCCTCAAGACCCTCCGATGCATTGGGTCAGCATCCTGGCTTGGAGATGCTCATCATTTAAGGGATGCAAGGCGTTGAACTTGCCATTTTTCAGAGCCGATGCAACAAGAGCCTGTTGCCACTGGCTTTGTTTCTTCCTCTCTGGCAGGTAAGATGTCAAGTCCCCATGGCAGCACCAGCCCCTTGTTAACATTCTCCCCGGATCTGAGGGCACAGCTTGTCACAGAACAGTGGATGCTGGTTTGTGGCAGGGGCTGACAGCTGGGATGTCTCAGCTGAGATGATGGAAAGAGCCAGAGCTCTCGGCAGAAGGGCATCTGCAGGCTGATCTTGTATCCATCACTCACACCCAACATTAATGCTGTCTGGACAATCAGCCCCAAATGGGGCAAGAAGGCCAATCAACTTACTGTCATGCCAGGATGAGAGTCCAGAGGTGACAGGGGATACATGTGAGCTGAGTTTTTGTCACTGGTGTTATAAAATACTCCACACGTGGGTGGAAGCAGCAGTGTGTTGTGGACAGAACAAAGAACAGCAAGGCAGGACTCCTGGGTTCCTTTCTAAGCCGGAGGTGTGTGAGTGGTTCAAGTGGAAACCATGGGGTGGAGTCTCTTCTTTTCTGGACACCTCTATGTCTAGATTTGTTCGTCCAAGTGGTATTTGGATCATCTCCTTTGCCTACAGGGCATGTTGGCACTTGTGTGTCTATGGGAATTCTATTCCCCGCCCCAGCCCGCATGCCCCCGCCCCAGCACGCGTGTCTATACAGCCCCACACAATGCCCCTCCCATGCACAGGCAGACTCCCCAAAGCCTCCAAACTCCAGCACACACTCACATGACTTGCACACTCATATATCTCTCTGTGCTCTCGATCACATCTCCCTACACACTCCCCTCCATTCCTTCACCAGTTTATACCCCTTTCTCTACAACCTACTGCCCATCTGGACCTGCAACCCAAGTCACCCTGACACCCACCCCCCTCTGGGCCCAATGCAACTTGCACTTGACTCCCACCTGAAACCACCACCAGCACCTGCACACAGACCCCCCCCCCCCTTTTACCTGCACTTGCTCTCTCCCCCAGATCCTGCCCCCGCCCTCAGCTTCCCCCAATCTTGCACCCAGATCTGCACTCACACCAGGACCCCCCCAGATTCCTTCACATCTGGGTCCACATCTGCACCCACCACCCAAACCTGCAGCTCCACCCACACCCTCCCTCAGAGCCCACCCACACCCACACTCAAATGCACACCCAGGCCCCCCAAGCTCACCTGAACTGCCATGTGGATGGGAACCTGCAACCCCAACTGCTACCCCCACCCAGACCCACACTGCCATCCTCACCTGAAAGCACACCCCCAGCTATGTCCAGTTCTGCACCTTCACCCCTACCTGCCTCCACATCCACATTCACACTGCACCACACCCCCACCTAGATCTTCACCTGTAACTGGACAGCCCCCCGCACCACCATCCAGAGCGGATCCACAGTCAAACTCACTCTGCACCCCAACCCACATCTGGGCCCATGGACATACCCCCACCTGCTCTTCCCCCACCTAAACATGCGCTGCCACCCTATCCCCATCCCCTGCAGTGCGTTCCCTCACACAGCCTGTTCCACACCTCTTTCCTATACCCCTCTTCCCGCACACAACGCTCCATCTGCCTCACCCCCAATCTAGCTCAGAGAAATGTTTTGCCCTACCCGACATGCAGCAAATGTCCCTAAGTAGCCCCCATCTAGCCAGGCCAGCACAGCAGACCTCTCCAAGACCATTCACTGCAAATGTAATGCAACTAGCTCTCTCATCTGAGCAGTGTGAGCCCTTCTAGTGAGAGCTGAGCCCACACAGCCTGCTGTCAAGAAAAGGAAATGAATCCAGGAAGCTACACAGTTGCCACAAGGTAGAAGAGACCATAGTTAATCTGACAAAACAGCCCATCACAGGGTGCAGCAGTGAGATGTGCACAACTGTGACAGATGTCATGGACATCTGCACAAGTGGAGCCCTGAATGTTGCCAAACACACGCCAATGGAGCGATGCTTGAGTGGGACGCTCCAAGTCCTGCCCCGAGAATCGCAGAGAGTGATGGAGGCAGAGGAGAAAGGAAATCCACTTTGGCAGAGATGGGCTGGTGTCACAATTCCCATTTTACAAATGGGAAACTGAGGCACAGAAAGCGGATACGACTTATCCAAGGTCATACAGTGAGCAAGCAGCAGGGCAGGGAACAGAATCCAGGAGTCCTGTCTCCCAGCTCCCCTGCTCTATCCCCTCCATACCACTTCCTCACAAAGCTAGGGATTGAATCCAGGAGTCTTGGCTCCCAAGCCACATGCTCTAACTACTAGATACCACTACCCCTCTACTTCAAAGTGGAGCTGTCACTTGCAGCTGTCACACTCATCCATGGGACCAGCCCTGGTGCATGCAGGGAGCTCCTAATTATGTGCTACTGGCATACCAAGATGTTTCCCTGGGGTCTGGGCCAAACTAGTCACAACCCACCATGTCAATCAGTACCTCCCTGCTAACTGTCTTCTGAAGCCTAAAGTGAAAGCAGCTGGTGGTCAGGTATAAAGAACAAGGCCAAAGGCTGCCATGAAGGGCCCAGGCTCAGGCTCTTGCTGATGACTTCTGGCTGTTAGGCCTCTCCGATGGGGTACCCATGTCTATCGGTACCTTCTAGGGGCCTCAGACAGAGGATGCTATTAGCATGGACTCAGGGACCCTGGATAGGAACATGCACCCTCTTTCCTTGAAGAGACTCATTCTTTCAGTGCTCTCCGTACACATGCTAATGTGAGCTCACAGAAAGCTGCTGCTCTGCTGTACAGCCTGCCTTGCTGGCAGTCAGGAGCATCTGTGAACTCTGGTGCCTCCTCTCTCCAGCTGGTCAGGTACCTCTCCTGGGCATGGCCATGCTAATAGGTTTGCATGAGCACAAGGAGGCATATGGCATGATTATGGCATATGCAATGGCACCAAGGCTGGGGATGGATGGTACTGGCAGCATTCTGCAAGATGCCTGTTTTGACTTGTCACTGTCTGCATCTGTGGGCAACAGATCAAGCTGTATATAAGTTGGCACTGTACCACCCTGAGAATCAGCCCAGAGCTCACAAGGCCCCAAAAGCAGATATCCAGGACATCTGCCTTGAGCCAGGCGCTCAGCAAGGATGAAATTTCTGCTTGGCCTCAAGTAACTCCAATCAGGTGCTAAGGGATCCATTGTAATGCCCACTCTAAGCATAGGTGAGAAGGATCAAAAAGGCCCCTTCCCAATTCCCTGGAGCCAGAGCAGGACAGGGCTCTACAGGGTGATTTCCAGAGATTCATTCAGTCTACCTTTATGGGCACGAAGCAACAGGGCTCTTTTGGGAGATTTAGGACCAATTTATTAATGGCTTATAAAAAGTACTAAAGTGGGGATTCACAATGCTTTTAGACTCAAGGCACCCTTGGAAAATGCCAGCTTTTAGTTTTCACTCCTTTTTGACTACAGAAAAACAACACGACAATTCTTCTGTTGCAAAGAGCTCAGACAGACCATAGCAGGGCAGAATGCTTCTAACACTACAGATTTCTATATGAAATCTCTGGGTTTCTCTCTTGAATCATGTTTGCACACCTAACAGTGCTAACACGGCATGGCACCCTGCAGCACCCTTGAAAGGATCTCAAGGCATGCCATGGGGCCACATCACCCTGGTTGAGAATCACTCAGTTAAAGGATTAATAGATTATTTGATAAATGCCTAACACAATGATTATAGAGTGCAACAGGTTGGCAGCTGCTTGTAACCCTGATTTATAACCATCCATAACACATTTCACTGATGTGCTTATAACCACCTAAGATGTATAATACTCCTCTCTGTAACATACCTAGCGCATCTGTTCACCCTTTTTAGCCCATTTATAAGTAAAACCTTAGTAGAAAGTGAGATTCTGTTCTGTCAGTCGCACGAGGAGGCAGATCCTTAGGTGGAGTAAATGGATGCGGCTCCCCTGACATGTGATTCATACCAGCAGAAGGTCTGGTTAAGACCTCCCTGGTAGTTAGCTATCCCCGATAGCTTAAATGTGGCCATTTTTAATTCCATTCTGTGACTGCTGGCATTGTTCTGTCCACCTTGCTCTTCTGTGGGTCCTAAAACTCCTGTAACTTATACTGATGTAACTTGACTGGAGTAAGAGATGAGAACCTGCTCCTTGATACAGCATGTCCTTCCAATATGTGAAGACAGCGATATCCCCCATTAGCTGTTGGCTTCCTGGGCTGGTGAGATTCAACTCTTTTAATCCTCTCATATCACTTCCACTCCTTATCACATTCACTCCTGCTCCTGGGACTCCCCTCAGTTTATTAACAGATATCTTTCCATGTAGGTGATGGTAAGGAATGAATGCACTGCTCCCAGCTCAGCTGCACTCAAGCAGTGGGTAGAAACTGTCACTGCCCTGCTCTGTGAATGGATGCCTCCGGATATAATTTGTCTCTGCATGTTAAGCAGTCTGTGTCTGAGAACTCTGAACAGTGCCGAGGCCTCATACTGGTTCTCTGCACAGAGCTGCATTGTGCCCTTAATGAGCTTGACCTACACCAACCCCTTGATCTGAATACACCAAACTTTGGGTTGTTTGAAATCTGAATCCAAAACTAGAGGCCAGAGTCTGTATCAGCTTGCTGTGCATAAATGGATGTTGCTACAACAGGACCAAGCTTTACAATGCCCCCTCCTAGAATCCTCTAGGCCATTCTGTGCAATCCCACAGCACTTGACTGATGGCTGGACAAGCTCCACTGCTTCCATGATTTTAGTGACAGTAGTAAGGACATAACTGAGGCCCAGATGACCCAGGAAAACAACCTGTTGCTGACAATGGTTATAACTGGCAACTGGTCACACAAGCAGGTGGCCTGCCAGTGTACATAGGATAAGAAAAGTTTCAACACTTTTACAAGAAGTTTGGTTGAGACCTTTCTACTAACCAGACAGACCACTTGACATTCAGTGGTTCTGTTTTGTAGTCAGATGGGCCAGGAGGATTAGAGAACAGCAAAGCCCCCCACTGGAACAGGGTACCTAGGGAGGTGGTGGAATCTCCATCCTTGGAGGTTTTTAAAACCCAGCTAGACAAAGCTCTGGTTGGGATGATCTAGTCGGAGGTGGTCCTGCTTTGAGCAGAGGGTTGAACTAGATGACCTCCTGAGGTCCCTTCCAACTCTCATTTTCTATGATTCAATATCACTTCTATCCCTGTCCTAAAGACTGACATGGTGCTAGGTGACCCGAGTTATCAATGGCAATGCCCTGCCTCCCAGCCCATTCCACCATTACCCCCCATTTCTTCGAGGAATCCCTGATGAGCTATTGCAGAACCCCAGGGATCCACACAACAGTCTGAAAACCACTGCTCTGGAGCCAGCTTAACCTGCAGCTTTTTGACTTCCCAATCTATTCCCAGAACACCGCTGCGGTCAACACCACCCCACAGGTCAGGCCGTATTGCAGCCCTGCTTTTGAAGCTGGCTCCTGTGGGCCAAGAGAGGAGGATATGTGAAGCCAGGAGGAAGCAAACAAGCTAAAGAGTGAGTGACAGCTGTTGCTCCAGAAAGGTGCGGTCCCTTGTTCCTAATAGGGCATAAGTTTCTCCACTGTACTGCTCTCCACTGTATTTTCTCCAATGAACAATCAATGTAAGAGGCAGCAGCTGAGTTTCAAGAGGAGTGCTAGAGAATGACCAAGAAAACACACACTCCATGGTGTGCTGCTCAGAGCTGTCTGGGTCAGAATCTGGGTTCAGTTCCCTAGACAAGTGCCTTAAATACAAGGTTATTTGGCTAAAAAATAGGAGTCCTCTTCTCCCTGGTTCTCCAGGGCATATACCTAGGTATGTGCATTATGTAGCTACATAGCTGTCCAGCCAGTGCATTGCCTACTGCATGTGCTTCCATGTCCACAGTGCAGGGGTAATGGAGTAGCAACCAGTGTAAACATCAAAAATGCCCCTTTATGGGGCTGGCTAAGTGCAAGTTAGATGCACCAAGGGGAACAGAATTCATGCCATGATTTCAGCGTCAGCACATGGCAAACAAAAATAACGGGTGATTCACGTGCCCTGAAATAGTCAGTGGCTCTGTCCCCATCTTGAAATAAGTTGTTCATCTCCTGCATCTTGCTCGCATAGGAAGAGAAACAGTAGCCCACTTACCCTCCTTTAATATAATCCAAGAAGGTGCACTCTGATTCCACAGTGAATGAGAGCAGCGTCACCTTGGGGCCAAAGAGAGAGGGCAGTCAGTTATGCCAAGAATTATGCCTCAGAGATTGCTAGTGCAAAGGTCATCTTCTTTAGTGTGAAGAGAAGGTGCTAGTGTGAGAGCTCTGGAGACTGAACTATGAATCTATGGCCCGAGGAATAAACTAACCTTCCAAACTGTTCCCTGGCAATGGGTGGCACATAGGGCCTTTTTTTTTTTTTTATAGAAAATTTGGGTTCCAACAAAATCTTTTTGGGGATGAAAATGTTTCATTTCTGTGTGGAAATGCTGATTTTTCATTAAATTAAAAAAACCCAAACCTGAAAATATTCTGATTCTGAAACGGTACCACAATGCATCATCTAAGTGGCAGTGTAGTTGCCTTCTTTCCCCACCCGCCACCCCCAAATCCCTCCATTTCCTATAAAGCACCAGGACCAGGAACTCTCATAATACTACCCCTTTCCTCCCCAAGAGGGGAGACGATCTCCTGTATTGCACAACCCAGGACCCTGCCCATACAGAAGGATAGTGTAGTATTTCCAAATCAAAATATTTTGATTTTCAGCTGAAATTGGTTGGTTTGAATTTCTGCTGACAAATCTAAAGTTTTCCTAGGAACACCCTTCCCTTCTGCTTTTCAACCAAGTCCAGGGTCACGTCTGCCCTGGCTTCAATACTGACTCAGGAAAAAAATCATTAATGGCGCCCACTGCAAGTCCCAGCGCCTGGATTTTCCCCTCAACTCTCTTACCCAAGATCTGACAGCAACCAGGCCAGCTTAGTTTACAAGATCAGACCTGAAAACCACCCATAAAAAGCTGACCGATGATTGCGAGCTACCACTTGGCTGTTATGTGGCAGAGCCCCATGTCAAAGACTTACAGGGGTGAAAGCACTGATCAGTGAAAATTGTTCTTGTAACACGTGAGGACTGCGTGGTGGCTTGTCTTTGGGCCATACATCATCCTAGGACAACTGCTCCTCCTTTCTTAGGTGGCATTAGTGCCAAAGGAAAATCCAATCACTTACTGTTCCTGAGTTAATGTATTTCTTTTTCTTCATTTTCTTTCTGGGATTCACCACCTAAAGGAAGAAAGAAGTGGGAGAGACTGAATGTTTGTTTAGGAGCAAATTCTATTCTGACTAGCAAGAAGAGGCACCAACAATGCACAACTGAGACTAGATAGGACTTGTACAGTTTTACATGCCTTTGATCCTCTCTCTTATTAGAGACTGAATAACTCCAAGTGACCTCGGTATTGCAAATGAGTGACATGCCCCTAGTTGCTCTAATAAATTATCTATCCTGCCATCATGCTGAATATTTTGAAATGGGAACAAGTCTCAGTATAATTGGAGTGTTCATCTCTTTTTACTCTGCAATTCCTTCTGCCCCCCCAAATTTCTCATCATTATAGCAGAAACAAACCATATTGTTTCAGATGTGCATATGGTCATCGCCTAGCAGGAATAAGGGAAGAGGAAAAGCCTAAGGCAATAAATTTAGTCCTAAGCAAAAGCAATTTCTCACAGCCAGCATGAGTAGCCCTTAGCTCTTTGGAGAATACATGTCTGTTTCTCCTATTAAAAAGAATATTTCCCTTTTCTTTCTCAGAACATCTTCCTGACCACAGGGGATGTGAATGCAACAGTGCTAGAGAAAGGTGGTGATATAACACAAGATTCAGGCACTGCAGATAAGGTTCCTCAGGCATGTAGCTCCCACTGAAGTCTCCTTGGCCATGATAAGCTACATCACCAGAGAATCTAGCCCGGTGGGTGAAATCCATCACATGCAAAGAGCCAGGGTGAGAAATAGGCAATATTAAAATTCATTCCAGCAGGGTTTGGGAAGGACATAAGTAGGGCATAGGTCCCATGCCAACCTGACACCTGGGTGTGAATATCACCATGTATAGACAAGAACAAGAAACCATCCGAGGTATTTCTATAATGTCTATTCCCAGAGCACCTCATATTGTTACCACCTATTTATCCTTGCAGCACCCCCTGAATCAGGACAGTGCTCTTGTCCCCCTCATGCACAACAGAGGCACAAAGAGTATAAGCAATTTGCCTAAGGTTAAGCAGGGAGTATGTTGCAGAGTTCCAAGCTAGCATCCTAACTGCTGCATTATTCTTCTCTGGAGCCTGCGTCCTTTTTGTCCATAGGCTTCACTGCTCCTGGATCCCATGGTCGAGCTTTTCCAAAGTGCTGTGTGATTTGGGTGCCTCTGTTTTGGAGCGTCCTAGCGATGACACCTGAAAAGGCCCTGCTTCTCAGAGGGTTGGTAGTGCATGCTTTCTGACAACCAAATCCCTTTAAAACAGTTCAACCTGGATGCACGAAATAGCTAGTCCCTTTGAAAATCCATGTCTGGAGACTCCACTCCTCAGCTATTCAAACTCTGCAGATCGTTGTTTGACTGTCTTCCCTTTCCATCCCCGAGCTGCTCCATAAAGGGCTGGGTTTTCCAAAACCTGGGATAGGGAAAGCCTGTTTCTCTCCTGAATCTGTTTCTTATCTGCCCTCGGCAGAAAGTCCTACTCTTCTTCCAGCTGACCAACTCTGCTGGCCTTCCCAAGGGCTCTCCTTTCCCCTCCGTGATAAACAAGGACATGGCCTTTCCAGCCAGTGAAATTACATTTTTGCTCTCTCTCTGGAAAGAGCTCATTTGGAATCACGGGGTTTTTCCTTCCCTTCTCAATGATCTGTTTTGATAAGGTCATGGGAATTCATCCAGAATAAAAGGCATTAATGATTTACACAGATTATTTGCCAGCTCCTCCTCCCCCCAACCTCTCCTTCTCGCTCCTTCCTCCTGCTG